GGAAAGATCACAAACATTGTTTTGATAAATTACCATAAAATTGCAATAGTGCAATATTGCAACAGTGTGAAAATTGCAATGTATTTATTTATTTCTTCACATTTCTAAAAAGAACTCTAGATGCCATCCAGTGAGGTGGGTCCCTATTACCTAAATAACAAACAACAACAAACTCCACATAAATATAAATACTGTATATCCACCCCAGTGCACCCTTCCTGAGAGATTCAGGCTTTGCAGTATACCCAGGTAAACTAATCTGGCAGACCTGCAGTTGGGAGCAAAGTTCGATTATTAAGTAACTTGTACAGAAAATGCCCTGTCACCACCTCAGTATCATTTATATCGAGGGAATTTCAGCTCAGATGTCTCCACTCATCCTAAATGTGGCACATGGAGAAGTGATACCTCAGGTAACCAGATCCCAAATCATTTAGAGCTTAAAGTTCACCTGGAAACTAACTGGAAGCCAGTGCAGATCATGGTGTACTTGTATCAAATGCTCCCAATGTGCAACTCCAAACTCAGTAAAAGTACTGCAGCATTCTAACAGTAGATTTAGCTTCTAAATTGTCCCTATGTGTAGACCTATGTAAGTAGAGTCCTGAGAGTCTCTGGATACCACTAGGGCTAGCCCTTGCACTACCAGCAGGAAAAGGACACACGAAGCTTTGTCCTACAACTCCTCTTGCAGGGAGATGAGTGCTCGCCCTGACCGGCCCCTCTCTCTCTCTCTCTCTCTCTCACACTGGTGAGCACCGACTGTTGAGTGCAGGCGTGCTGTGCTGCCTGTCTTTTCCCTGCACGACCCTGCCACCTCCTTGCTCATCTGTGCTCCATCTCCCTGCTCTCTAGATTTGCTGTGTGGATGCAAATAATATCTGGATCGCAGATCAGATGAAGAGTTGAGCTTAGCACACACATTTTTGTATCTGTGCAGGGCTTTACATATAAGGCATGTTACAGCAATCTAGTTTCGAGGTAATAAAAGCATGGATCATTCTGACAAAGTTTGCATTGGACAGAGGAGTTTATATTTGACTTCCTGGGTACTTCAAGACTGACCCAGGATCTAATACCATATCCAATTTATACATTTTACAAATGGCAGTTGCATGTCACATAAATGCCACCTATTCTTCTGCCTGTAGATGATGCCTATTCTTCCAGCCCATCAGCTTTATCTCAGTCTTGTCTGAATTCAATCCCAAGATCTTGTACAATGTCTCTTGGTCAATGATCTAATTTTCATTCCAAAGCCACAAAAATTAAAAAGTGACTTTGTGAAACTCATAAAATAAATATTTCAGAATAATTTTTAAAAATCAACAAAAACATCTCTTCACACATACCTTTTCTAGCCCATGTGTCTTAATCTATCAGCTAAATTGTTTGAATTTAAAAATCACTGAATATACATGACAATTCTAGATCACAGATCAAGATCCATTAGGGAATTGACATAAACTTAGAAGTAAAAGTTATTATACTACATAAATTAATGCTAACAAATTTCATAGCAGCACCAAACTTTTAAAATTCTTCTAAAAAAGTATTTTATTATTTCCATTCATTTTTATTTACCATGCAAGATACGTGTACACAACAAATATTCTTACCTCTTAAATTTTGAGACAACCCAAGCCAAACTCTTCTGGTTATGAGGTCATTTTGCCTTATTTGCCTGCTGACAAATGTATTCTCTTCAGCATCCTTTATAGTCAAAAGTGTTGCAGAAGGCTCTAAGGGAAGAGTTTAATGATCAATACAGAAAGAAAATTTAAAGTTTTCCTCAGTCTTTTTAAATTAAATGGATTTTCTAAAAAATTCAAAAGGGATAATTTAAGACACAGAAATGAGAAAGAACATTGCTGATTTTTGCTTCAACTACCCCAGATTAACACGGCTACATTTCTATCACTATTGCTGATTTAGACTCCTAAAAATCTGTGGTATGTAAACTGCAGAGGAAAAACACAGATTAGGAGAACAATGCAATGTCATGAGCAGCATCAGATGCAAGTTAACTTCTTGCTTTGTCATCTGGGTAGATGATGCAAAACAAAAATAAAGACAAATCTTCTGCAAGTGTGGAAAGGTATTAAATGATACTATGGAAACAGAAGCATTGATCCTGCCAGGTTCTGAGTATTTTCTGTAAATCCCTGGATTCTTATTAACTTGAGTAGAGGCTCAGCACCATGTAGGATCAGGCCAATTTTCTATATCGAAAGAACACATCATATATTGATATACAATGTCACTATTTTAAGGTATAAGGGAAAGGAAGAGGTGCACCAGAGAGCAGGGTGGAGGGGTGGGCTTCAATGCAACTGATCCTCCTGTCAACAGCAGAAGATAAACAAGGACTACTCTTGCTCTAACCCACACTGGGTCCAAATGGCACTGAATTGGGTGTCACATCTAGTTATGGGAATACCTCTTCCTTTAATTTGTTTCTCTTACACAGTTTAATTAATCTTAATGTTAATTAACCTTAAATGCATCATCTAAAATTGTGAAAGGAGCTTTATCTGCCCCAAACCAATCCCATAATATTTACTAAAGAAAAAATAGCTCTTCCTTTAGCAGAAAAATTTCCATTTCAGCTTCTGTGTCATTAAGTTTAAAGTATGTAATTTGTGAAGTGTTTACTCTTAAATCCTTGGAGGGATTTCTCTGCATTCATTCCACTCCCATGGCTATAAGAAGAATAACTTTGTAACAATACAGGCTTTAATTTTAATAAAGTAGTTTGTATAAAATAAAAAGGTTTTCCCTTGGAAATCAGCCTTGATCTTCTGAATCCTTTAACAATGGTTATATACGAGGTATCACTTTATTTATGCACATTCATGCCCCAGCTAAATAATCTGAACACTGCCCAAGTTCACCAAAAATATTAATCAAATGCTCAAAAAATTATCACATAAAACAAAACAAGTCATTAGAGATATTCCTAAATCCAAGGAACAATGCAGAAGTTTGCCAGTGTGTTTTCTAATCCTCTCTTAAATGATGAGCTATTTACAAGATGTAACAAAGAAAGAAAGCCAAACATACCCAGCTTCTGGCAGACTCTTTCAGCCTCTTCTGCAGTATATACTGAAAAATTGTATAATGCCATGTCAAATGCATAGCAATGATCTTTATACTGCAACCACTGTGATGTTCCAGTACCCTGTGGACACCTGGAGGAGCCTTTGGTTTGCTGTGGTTGTAATCGTCTGTCTGTAAAAATATAAAGATTTTGTATTATGCAAATGAAAAGAGGCTCTGCACAATCAAATCACTTTGGTGTAGGGATTATATCCCATTTAGTTTCCTTTTTGAAATATAGCAGATTCATTATCAGCCAATGATTACAAGAAAAATTCCAGCTAGTCTGGGATTATGACCTTTCCATTGCTGGGAGGGGGAGGAGAGGACTACTCTTTCTTACTGGATTTCAAGCAATCAAATGGTTTTAAAATATGCTATGCTGTGACATTTCTACCACAGGTCACAAAGAGGTCATCAGTTTTAACCATTTATAAAAATTATCTCAATTTAATTATTTTAATTTCTTCCATGAAACATTGGGTCATGTTGAAAGTGATCCCCCTGATTTGAAGACACTAAGATAATCTGAGATGACCAGTTTTATTTACCAGATTTTACCAAGGTAATTGGTCTAAAAAAAGTGAGTTTGCCACAGATACAGATAGGACAGTCTCATGTTCCCACTGCTCAAACTAAGATTCATGCATTAATAAGTTAATTTACAAAGCATCTTTCATGCAAAGATGTCAAAGTGCTTTATAAAGGGAAGGTAAATATTTCTATTTTACAAGTGAAGAAAAGGCACAGAAAAATTTGTCCAAGTCCTAAAACAAACCAGTGGCAGAACTGAGAATAAAAGTCAGGAGTATAGTCTGCACGTCTCCACTTCTAAATACTACTCAATCCTGCCTTTCATAATGTGTTAGTCACTATAAACCCTGCTAAACTCAATTTAAAATTTCACTCCAGTGATGGATATGAGAAACAACTGTTCAGAGCAGTTATTAAAATCCAAAAACAAATCCAGTGATAGCACATGACTGAGTCAGTATTTCATGGAAGCCATGACAACAAAACTCTTCAGTGAAAACTGCAGTAAAAACATGTTTGGCATAAAGGAAACTTCTCAAATTAGGATGTTTAACAAGCAGTGTTTATTTTTTAATGCCCATTTAAATCTCTGTCCACCGTTATCAAATGCCAAAAGCATGGTGTCACAAAGCTTACAAGATATACTGATGAATCTTTTTGCCACTACTGCTAAAAAGTCTTAAAGAACAAAATGTTAGAACTTGTCTAAATCGTGTTTGTTCCAGTCTTCATTTTCTGTTCATAATACAGCACATAAAATAGAGGATGGATTAAATTATAGAAAAAAAAAAGAAATTCAGGCTTACGGTCTGAAGTAGTATAGCAAATGGCACCTTCAACAACATTAGTGCACCTTGCATGTTTCCAAAATCCTTTTGTATCCAGAACAACACAGGTTTCAGAAGATACAGCGTTTTCTAGCTCCCAGGGACGGTAGTCAAATTCACTTCCATCAGACCATTCTAAATCAGATTCATTTCCCTGATTAAATAATAATTAATTGTTATACCACTGCATTCAGGCCTTAATCAATCATGTATAGACACAGATAGTGGTCAGAGAAAATTCACTAACACGTTGAAGACCCATTTCCTCCAAGTCAGTATTGAACCACTGCCCAAAATGGTTAGCAGATTCTGTCTTCCAGGTAATACTTAAAAGTAAGGTCCTGACCACTCATTGAGGAGACTGTAGAATAGTAATAGAGATGTAGCTGTGTTAGTCTGGTCTGGCTGAAACAAAAGACAGGACTACGCAGCACTTTAAAGACTAACAAGATGGTTTATTAGGTGATGAGCTTTCGTGGGCCAGACCCACTTCAGATTAAATTGTGGAAGATATGCCAATTTTCTTCCACAATTTGATCTGAGGAAGTGGGTCTGGCCCACGAAAGCTCATCACCTAATAAACCATCTTGTTAGTCTTTAAAGTGCTGCGTAGTCCTGTCTTGAGGAGACTGTGGTACTCTTAAGTGTAAGGTTTGGCCAGTCTAAATCCCAACCTGGTAATATTCTGCCTCCTTGATTTTCCCCTATGGTTTTAAAGCATTACTCATTTCCTATCCTAACAGGAGCTATTACTTAATCATGTTGTGAGCTATTAAACTGCAGTATTTTGTTTATCAGTTTGTAATGAAAGCTACTAAGCTAGATTCACTTGGAAGTGTATGCTAGCAGAAACCACATCAATGGAAAGTCTGCCATGGGAGGTGAAGGGACTAGTGCAGCGCAAGAGATGTTTTAAAGCATTACTCATTTCCTATCCTAACAGGAGCTATTACTTAATCATGTTGTGAGCTATTAAACTGCAGTATTTTGTTTATCAGTTTGTAATGAAAGCTACTAAGCTAGATTCACTTGGAAGTGTATGCTAGCAGAAACCACATCAATGGAAAGTCTGCCATGGGAGGTGAAGGGACTAGTGCAGCGCAAGAGATGGGTAGGATGGTTGATAGATGAACTGAATTAAAGCTACCCTCCCCTTATAGAAACCTGAGGAAAGGCGGTAGTTCAGTGGGCAAGGTGGAGCAGACAAGCGGCAAGTTGCATTTCTTTACGCTAGTGGGATAAATTTGGCCCATCAGGTAAATATAAAATCAGACACTCATTCTAAAATGCATTTCTAATCTCCTAATATCCAAGTGTAATAATGTGTAGGAAAAGTTAACATATATTATTAGAGGTTAGGAATTAAAAAAAGCAAATAATCTTGTTGCATGAAATTCTAATCTCTACGGGTGCTCTCACTTTAGATCAGAAAGCCTGTCATTACCTTTTTTTATTTTTTTTTATGTTGCTGGGAGTTTCCTCTAAGCCCTCACCAAAATTTTAAGTGCTAAGAGAAAATGTTCTTTGGAGATTATCCAAATTAAATTTTTGAAAAGCCCATAGCTTATTTCAAAATTGGGAGCATCTACACAGCAGTTATTTCGAAATAAAGTGTTCTTCCTTCAACTTCCCTTACTCCTTGTACAATGAGGGTTACAGGGGTCGGAGTAAGAAGTCCTCTAGCTTGACAGTATTTCGACATTATTTCAAAATAACTACCTGCTATGTAGACGCGGACTATGTTCTTTCAAAATAACACTAGTTATTTTGAAATAATGTTGCTGTGTAGACGTACCCTAAAAGAGCCTAGAAAGATCACAAAGATTTTGGAAATCAACTGCTGAAAATTATGGTTATAAGAAACGATAGTTATGACAGTAGAAACTTACACCATGGCTTGATAGCCCAAGCCACAGAGGATATCCATCACGCTTTACAATATCTTCCAAAAACAGCTGTTGTGATTCACTGTGAATGCTGACTAAATCACTTCCATTCTGTTTGCATTCTCTTAATGCTTGATACCAGGTTATTTTCTTCTGAAGGATCCTGTATGTGCTATTTCCATGTGATATAGATTTAGGCAACGGAGGTTTGCTCTCTCTGGACCCTATTTCAAGATTAAGATCACATTAAATGCTACATACTTCATTCAAGTTATTAGAAATATGTGGAAGATATTAAAACACATCCATCTATAACAACCCAATTCAAGAACTGAAGTGTTCAATACAAATTATTTTAAAAAAGATAATGAACATCCCTTATATTGTATGATGGGAGAAAGAGGTGGAGGCACACAACCCAACATCCATCCTACTGCCAGAGGGCTTCATCCTGCAACTGAAATAAATGAGAATTTTGCCAAATGACTTAAATGGGAGTAGATGCAGGGTCTTCATTGGGATTCCTGTCTGTGGAAGGTTTGCAGTACTAGGCCTTCAAGTTAACTTTACATCGCTAGCCTCGCCTCTGAAACTTTGTGACAGTAATTCTGGATATTACTTACCCATTTCAATTTTACAGGAAAGAATACTATGTTGATTAAATTGAAGAGCTTGCCAACTTAGGGTACGATTGTAAATATCCCAAAACCCATCCAGATTTACTCCAGCAAAAAACTGATTCTTCTTTACATTAGGTCTTCCCTGTCTCCAGTTATTGTAAAACAGAGGAGTTTCATCATACCATTTTAGCAAATTATCTGTGGAAAATATGAAAAAGTTTCTATATTTAGCATTCAGCAAAGTGAGGATATTTTAAGAAATGTAAAAATTATCTGCACACACAGATGGTGTGTTCGTGAGCAGTATTAATAAAACACTCACTTTAGATCAGAAAGCCTGTCATTACCTTTTTTTATTTTTTTTTATGTTGCTGGGAGTTTCCTCTAAGCCCTCACCAAAATTTTAAGTGCTAAGAGAAAATGTTCTTTGGAGATTATCCAAATTAAAATTTTGAAAATCCAAATTACAAAAACCCAATCAAACCATATCATAGGTGCCTAGCAAGTAAACTAGTACTATATTCTGAAGAAATTAATAGCTATAACTGGGAAGCAGGGATGTTAGGTTAACCCCGTAAGCCTCAACCCTTAATGGAGGCTTAAGGGATCACTCTTAATGAGTGAGGTTTACCTGTTATGGTTAACTTATAAGAGCTAGAGCAGCAGGGTACTCCAGCCCTGTGGGGCCGGTTTTGGGCAGGTGGAGCAGCCCTTGTCCATAGCGGGCCCAGGGCGCACCATGGTCAGGGACTCTCCAACTCAGCTAGAGTAGCCCCGGTCTGCAGCTGGGGGCCACTCCAGCCCCCCTCCTCTGTTTAACTGGTTTAACTTAACTTTTAACTGGTGAGCCAATTAAAAATGGGATTTTACATCCGTATTGGGAAGCAGAACCTCTTGAATTCTATCCAGGTTATGATACACATTCCCACTCTAGCTTACTGTCTCTGCCTTGTTTTCACATTTTATAAAATGGAGATAGCCAAGACACTGTTTTCTGCAATTCCTTAACTGCAGTTTCCCAGAAAATCCTTCCCTCACTGCAATAAGGTGCTCTAGAATTTAAGATTTCTTCCCTTAAAAAAAAAAAATAGATGTTACCAGCCTATGAAAATTATTTTTAAAATAAGAGTGTAACTGATAGGCTATGTCTACACAGCAGTGTCATTTCCGAAGAACATAGTGTGAGTCTACACATCAAGCCCATTATCTCAAATTAATTCAAAATAATGAGCTACTTACTCGGATTTCTGTAACACTCATTTCATGAGTTAGGAAAATCAGGAGAAGAGTGCTCTATTTCAAAATAACTGCTGTATAAACAGCTTATTTTGACTTTTGGTGCTATTTCAACTTAAACTACACAATTATCTTAAGCTTAATTGCGTAGCTTATTTTGAGTTTAGCCCTGCTGTGTAGATGTGCCCATTGAATGTTGTATTTCTGAGTCTCTACAGAGTCTGGAAATAGCTCTGAGAAGTGTGAACTATCCCATTCATCACAATGAGTTAAGTATTTGAAACCTAAAGATGAAAATGTAAGGCTCCTCCTAAAAATCAGATCTTTGCATAAGCAAAGAGCCCCTTAAGTTCCAACCCTGTTAACTACTCTACAGCTAGATCAGAAAGCCTGTCATTACCTTTTTTTATTTTTTTTTATGTTGCTGGGAGTTTCCTCTAAGCCCTCACAGCTCTCATTGGCTGGAAACACTGAAATGCAGCCAATAGGAGCAGCAGGTAGTGGTGGCCCAGGCCATGTCACTTCCCACGGCTCCCCTTGGCTAGAAACAGTCAACTGAAGCAAATGGGAGCACCTAGGCTCAGTGGCTATGGACACTTAGATAAACGAAGTGTAGTGGGCTCACCAGCAGCTTATCTGGGTGGGCCTGTGACCCAATGCTGAAAACCACTGCTCTGCAGTTTGTTTAAATAGAAATGTCCAGTTAATGCACTTATCCCACAATCCAAAAGTACCTTCTGTGCCACTACTTCAAGGGCTCTAGACTGCTGGAGAATTCAGACACCCTGCTTTAGTATCTACACCCAGAATGAAGCAAAGTACATGGATTCTTGGGGGGGGGGGGGGGGGCGAAGGGAGGAAGGGGGAAAAAAATCACTGATCTGCTTCACTGAGATGTTGTTCATTCATCTTTATAAAGTGTACTGAAGATGAAAAGCACTATTATTCTAACAGAAAAATTGCAGAAAATTTACTGCACTTAATAGAGAAAGCAGGATTGGTCACAAGCTGCAGGGAACTTCAGAAGTTTGTAACTCAGTCCAGGCTTGAAATTCTAAGGTACTGAACACCCAAACTGCCACTAATGTCAACGGGGGTGGTGGATGCTTGTTAACTCTAAATCAGGCCCATGTATACTGCTAAAAATGTCACCACAGGTCATTGTGCTCTTTTTAAATCCTATCTTTTAGTAAAGACAACAACCTGGATTAAGCAGACAGTTGATAAACATCACAAGAACCAACTAAAAGTGTCCGGTTATTTTCCTCTAAAAATATAAATGAAAATATATGGCAGTTATAAGCATTACTTGTACTTTTATGGTATGTTGTGCTATCCAAGTACAGTAATACTCCAATAGTCGGGCATCCAGTTATCCGGCATCAACTGGAACCTGGAACTGCTCAGGTCAGCCACTCTCATGGCCAGGCCGCTGCGAACCGCATATGCGCTCACGGGTCCACGTGCTAGCAGCTGGCCATTGAGCATAGGTAGTTGCTTTGGGACCCAGACATAAGGTTGGGGGAAAAGGGGGATTGGGTGACAGCAGGGAGGGGAGGCGTCTGGCTCTGGGGAAGGGAAGGGGAGGGGAGGTGGATTGGGTTGTGCATGGCATCCCGGACAGCTCATTAAAAAGCTGGCTGCTCAGCGCACTTGCCCCAGTGCCTGGAGGGAGACGTGCGGCTGTGTCGGCAGCTTCAGGACCCAAGCATAAGGGAGGGGGAGAACGACTGGGTTGGGAGTATGCCCCTTATAATACCTCCTGGTATTCTGGCACATCGGATACTCCGACACCACCTAGGTCCCAAAGGTGCCGGATTATCGGAAGTCTACTGTATGTAATAAATCTATTAATTTAATTATAGGAAATAAACACAATTTTATTAATAAAAAAAATCTTACCATTGTCGTCATAAATTACACCCAACCATACCCATGTTGCTAGGCCGCTGAAAGAATAAAGCTGCTCAACAACAAAGTTATTTTCTTCCTCATTTCTAATATTCAAGACATATGCATCTGGATCTGGTGAAACAATTTTTAAAATAACAATTAGTCTATTTTATAACAAGTTGATCTGCCACTTACAAAACAAATTATGCTTTGATTGCCAATTTTTAAATAATTACCATACACCCCCCAAAACATTCTGAAAGGACAGGCAACATGTCAGCCAACGAAAATATTAGGAAAAATTAATATTTTTTCAAAAACCCATGTCAATCCTGCCTACTCTGAGCAGTCTGTGGAGAAGTGTAGGATTTTAACTTCTAAAGTAGTCAGCTACACTTTTCAGGAGCACTACATACACTTAACGTATTTGTCATCTAAAGAAGTAGGTCATGCCCATGAAAGCACATGATACTATTTATATATTTTTGGTTAGTGTCTAAGGTGCTACAGACCATTGTTGGTTTGTTTGTTTTTTTTAGTTACAGACTATAATGGCTACCCCTAAGACTTAAAAAGAAGTACCTTTTGGATATAGCTACAAAGCAAAGAGAAACCCATCACTGGCCCCTGCCAGCTGAATCGGACTCATTGAGATGCAGGCTGTGAAGGCGTTCCATTACTGTGTAGATTTCCAGGCTCACACTGAGCCCAAGCTCTAGGACTTTGTTGAGTGGGACACTGCAGTGAAACAGCCCTGCAACCTGAGTCCCACAACCCAAGTTAGCTGGCATGAACCAGCCGTGAGTTTTCTCTTTATTGTGCAGATACCTTTTCTATATTAAAAATTGGCCCTTCCATTTTAAAAGAGGTACAACTGTATCTGCTATCTTTCAAATGCTTCCTAGACTGTATCTCCACAATTTGTCAGTTTCTGTACAAGCAGCTTAAGAGACGCTGTCAATTTGAAATCTATTTAAAAGTAGTACTTACTTATTTTCTTGCATAAATGGTGGGCTTCTTGTGATTTCATTTCTTGCCACCTATCCTTTGTTATCATGAAAGTGTAACAACTATTTTGAAATGATATCCATGGTGTATTTTTAAACTTATGTGGACATTTAATTTGCTCAGCAATTTGTTTTTTTTCAGTGTTATCTGAGGGGGGGGGGAAAAAAAAGACTCTCTTATGTCATGCACAATTTTAAAATAAGACAGCTCATTTCTCACAGCAAATTACCATGTAAAATGAAAATCTGTTACCAATTTAAAGTTAGTAAATTTAAATAAACTTAGTAGTATCATCTGACACAGCTAATATGTAAGTAGCATTGTTCCCAGTCTTCTCAGAGCAGTGGTATTTCCATAAACTTAAAGATGGCAAAAAGCAATGATTTTATGAAATGCAATATGCAAATACCTTAAAGAAAACTTAACACAGGAAATCTTTCAGGTTAAATAGTTTTAGGGGAACAAATACATATACTAAAAAACAGAACAAGTATTATCTAGCAACAACTTTTGTATATGGCAATCTTGAAAGGGTAAATTCCAATCTTGGGGCACCATGTAGTTCCCATTGAAGTTAATGAGACTACTCCTATAGCAGTTCAGACTGCAAGAATCAACTTGTTAATTATGCCATAATCATATGGAATTTCCAGATGCAATTTAGTATTTAAAGCAAAAGCCCATATCATGCACATCCACAGAAAGGGCGGTCTGACGGGGAAGAAAGCTGTGAAGATCTCCTTGGAGGGATCTCCTCACATTGGCCTTTTATTTTGTTTTTAATGTTTCTTTGTTTTTTTAAAGCGATTCCACACCCCTGCCACTATCCTTCACCAAACTTAGAAGATCACTAGGAACCTCTCCTTAGGGTGTATTGTTCTACTTGGAACAATTTTTATGAGCCTGGAGAAGGCTCAATTTGCACCTCCCAATTTGATCTCCACTTACTACTCCTTCCACCTATCTCCCCCCACCAGCATGGACAAAGTGGTTTCCACAAGGTCCACAGGTGGGGCACAGATGGTGCAAGTAGTACAGAGAGCCATGTACAGAGGGTGTCCTCATTGGGCAGATCTGGAGGGCACAATCTAGATCAGAGGTCTCCGATCTTTTTAAGCATGAGATCACTTTTTCAATTTAAGTGCAATTCAAGATCTACCTCAAACCCAAATACCTTTGCCCCGTCTCCCTCTTGCTCCTTCTCCAAGGTCCTTCTCCTGCTCACTCCATAATCACTCCCACCCACATCCTCCTTCACTTTTACTAGGCTGGAGCAAAGGGTTGGAGTGCAGGCTCTGGCCTTGGATTAAGGGATCTGGAGCATGAGAGAGGCTCTGAGCTGAACCTGGGGCAGGCAGCTGGAGTACCGCTGGGGGTTTTAGGTGCAGGCTCTGGGAGGGCATTTAGGTGTAGGGGTGCTCGGGGCTAGGACAGGAGCTCGGGGTGCAGGAGGGGGTTCATGGCTGGGGTAGGGTTTTGGGATGTGGGCTCCATTTGGGCACGGATTACCTCAGGTGGCTCCTGGTCAGTGGTGCAGTGGGACTAAGGCAGGCTCAGCCCTGCCCTGGCCCTGCACCACTCCCAAAAGCAGCCAGCAAACTCCCTTGTGCCCCTTCTCTGCTCTGTGGAGATAGGATACAGAGTGGGAGAGGGGGCACCTTGACATCAGTGCCCCTCCTTTCCCTCCGCTGGCCTGCAGAGCAAGCAGGAGGCTCCTGAGGGGACAGCTCCAAAGCAAAGGGTAGGAGATGTGCAGATGAAGTGTGAGCACTTGATAGCCTCTTGGCCAAACCAGTCAGAATCACCTGTCAGAGGCTCCAAGATCTATCAGTAGATCCTCATCTACAGGTTGGTGATCAATAATCTAGGTCAACTCAGCAACCCTGAATACATCACTAAATAATCACACAGTACTTGAGTAACTTTTTCAGGTGTGTACATAGCTCATTTCCAAGGCACCAGCGGATTTTGTAGTATATAAAAACATATAAAAAACATATTGTCTATGTTAATATATATAAATGGAACATTTTTATTTAAAAATAATTATAAAACATTTTTGTTACTTAGTTTTACTATATATATATATATATTACTTATGAAAGCTGGGGTTTTAAAAAAATAAAATTTAAAAAACCCAGTATACATACTTCTTGGCAAGTAGCAAATAGCACCTGGATTTTCAGAGAAACATTCAGAAGTTTTCCAGAATCCATCAACATCCAAAAACACGCATTCTTCACTTGTTTTGTCGTCTTCTTCAGACCAGCGACTAAAATTAACGTTCTTTCCATCTGCCCAGGTATAATGTTTTCCATCCTAGCATCATACAAATAAAAGATAAGAGCTTACACACTGAAATAAATCTTGGAATATCAAATCACGTAATACTATATTTCTACTGCATGAAATCCTTTGTTCAGTTAGAATTACAGGTGCTCAGCAGTTCTTAGGATTTGGTCTCCTGCTACAACAATAAATAAAGTTTTTCTATTGAAAGAAACTATATGTCAACTACTGTGGATTGCAAATAACAAAACTTACATGTTAGAGACACAAGGTGGGTGAGGTAATATCTTTTATTGGTCCAATTTCCATTTGTTGGTGAGAGAGATGAGCTTTCAAGTTTACACAGGTCTACTCTGTAAACATGAAAGTTTGGCGATCACCAACATAAAAAATACCAAGTTTTTCTTCCCTGTTTTTCATGGAATATTCTATGGACCGCAGCAGAAGTGGGAGAGTTGCAATGTCATAGGTGCCAAGCAAGTGAAACCCTAAGTGAAAATTTTTTATTCAGGCTATTTAAAACTTAGCTATTAAAAACAAGCAAAAAGCAATCTAAGTCAAACATCCATAAATGGTTGGAAGAAAAGGTGTTTGTTAAAGATTCAGCACCCACTCATACATCCATGCCTCACACTCTGTAATTAACAGAGGAGGAAGCTCCTAATACAGACTGAGAATTTCCAAGAAACACAGGAGAAATAAGGCTTGACAACATATCATTTTATTAAAAAAAATTACATTTGCACAACTTTTCTCCGTTAAGAAACCAAAAAAAAAGTACTAACCTCCTTAAGATTTAAAATAAGTTTTCACAATATATTTCCAACAGTTTTTAAGCAGTTCCTGATTTAGACTTTTTAAAAAGATTTTGGTTGGCCCTTCTTTGCCCCAGAATTTCAAGTGACAACAGCACTTATAAAATCATTAACAACAGAGGGGCAAAGAAGATGCAAGGATATAATCTGCTGCTCATATAAAATATGTTTCTCCATCGTAAAACCTGAGGAGCACAATCTCCTCTCAAACAATCCATTAATGGGAAGTTCAACACTTGAATATGCACCCCAGATAATTGAAAATTTAGTATATAACCCTGAGCATTAGAGCTGGTTGACCTCCTAATAGATCTCCCCAACCTCAAGATGGGGCTCTACAACTGAAAACAAATGCCACTGGAAACCTCTATTTAAAAATAACCCAGTCATTTTCAATTTCATTGTTTTCCTAGTCATTCCTTTACTATTCCAGCTGATTCTGAAAATGGATCTAAAGAGGGATGCAGAGGGGAAGGGGAAATAAAACTTACATCTGTGCTGGAGAGTCCAATCCACAGTGGGTAATTGTGAATGGCAGCCTGCACAGCAAGAAAAGCCTGTTGGTACTGATCTGTGATGCTAACGAGCTGCATGTTTTTCTGTTTGCACTCTTGCAATGCATCATACCAGGACACATTCTTTAGAATTAATGTGTAATGGACATTTTGATAGGTCAGTGTTTCATTAAGGACTTCCTGTGTCTGGTTATCAGCTGGACCTGTAGGTAAATCAAGAAACAGAAGCATTATGACTTAAGATAAATACAGGCAGTCCCCGGGTTACGTACAAGATAGGGACTGTAGGTTTGTTCTTAAGTTGAATCTGTATGTAAGTCGGAACTGGTGTCCAGATTCAGCCGCTGCTGAAACTGACCGCCAGTTTCATTAAGGACTTCCTGTGTCTGGTTATCAGCTGGACCTGTAGGTAAATCAAGAAACAGAAGCATTATGACTTAAGATAAATACAGGCAGTCCCCGGGTTACGTACAAGATAGGGACTGTAGGTTTGTTCTTAAGTTGAATCTGTATGTAAGTCGGAACTGGTGTCCAGATTCAGCCGCTGCTGAAACTGACCGCCAG